CTCTTCCAAAAATATAAAAGCACATTAAAACAAATCGATCAACATAACTATAAAGCAACACAGCCGGAAACAAAGGCTGTGTCCAAATTCAGGGTCTGAGTCTGGACCGGATCCTTGATAAACTGCGAAATCCAGGAGACTGTCTGTGAATTCAGAGGGTTTAGCCTTCTGCTTTATTCCCATCCTTACCCCAGTGTATAAAGATGCTGAACAAAAAATAAATCAAAATGAGCAAAATATCAATATGTTCGTATTAAAAATATCATACAACAAAAAAATTAGCTTAAAGGCAATATTTGAAGAACTAATAGACCCGCCACACACGTACGTTTATTATGTTATGCCAGCTTTTTTGATTTCTGACAAGAATAATATTAAAAATCTAGAACATCAAAGCAGTTATGACCGGGATCCAAGCCTGTTTATGCATGTCAAAAAATATGTCTATACAAATAACAAAAGCATTAACAACACAACCGCTTAAAAATTTTAATTCATACACCACCAGAATTTTTTTAAAACTGTACTCCTTTCTCTTGCTTTGTCCGCCATTACAAGCAGAAAAAAATCTCCCGTCGGCCCGCAATGCATTATGGGATTTGGTTGGCCGAGAAGGATCCATTGAACCATCGCTCAAATCGGGGGAAAGGAGGAAGCATTTTTGGCCATATTAGAGGAATCTTGGAATTTGGACAGCCTCTGTATACGCTGTGACGTAAGCGGCTGACAAATTCGGCCTTTGGAGGACGCAGCCCCTGAATTTGGACCTAACCTGATCAAAAGAAACACTTAATTAAATTACTTCAATTAATGAATTCGAAATTATTACTGTGAATAGATTTTTTAAGAGCCCTCTTAAATTGATTGTGACTATTAAAATGCTAGCTAGACTAGCTAAATTTTAGCTAATGAACTAGCAGTAATCTGCATTTACATTGTATTTTTGCAGAAAATTAAATAGATTTTTTTCCAGGGATTTCTGGATTTAACCCTGGTGATGATCTGTAATTAGATATTCACCGCTGAAATAAGACTTCCTACGTCTCAGCTCAAACACAAGAGCTCTTGTCTTTTTCTTTAGGCGTTCTGCTCCTTTCTTTGCAGGGGAATAATGTGACATTTCCCCTCTGCCCCCCNCCCCCCACCCCTCCCCTGTTTTCACTGGGGTATTTTATTGCAAGCTGTAAAGATGAAATGTGGGGGCTGTTAGAGCTCTTTCTTCAACCCCCGATCCACTGCCCTCTCTAAAATCTCCAGCGACGGGATGAAAAGTCAGTTTGTGATCCTTTACGTCTCAGCTTCTCAACATCTGATACAAGCTTAGAGCCGTGTGTTAAAGTTGAGACGTGTAATGATTCCTGACCCCACCACCACACCCCCCTGCAGCTTTGCATTATCCACCTGTGCTCTGCCCCAGCTCTCATTTCTTAAAACTACATTTGGCCTCAGGGTCAGACGAGCTAAAACTACCTCCCGACTTCGCGTCCGTCTCTTTTGTCTGTCCATTACCAGCCATTTTGGAGCTTTGCCGTGTAAAAAGGAAAGATGAGAGACACACAAATCAGGTGGGAGGATGTAAAAGACTTTGAAGGTTAGAGTGGTTTCGACTGATCCATGTAAATCAGAAGATTTGCAATCCAAATTGAACAACGAAGCATGATCAACCTCGGGAGCTACGTTTTCTGTGATCAAACAAATCAAACATCCCAGATCTTTCTGTGAAGTGGGAGAGTAACCTCCTCTCTGATCACAAAAAACTCATCTGCGCAAGCAAAGGCATGCACAAATACTTGACCTTGCGCAGACATGCCATAAATGCCATCCCTCATCTTCTTACAATAAAGTGGTCACTTTAGTGCTGCTGGTGGGAGGCTTCTTACATGTTTAGAAAAGTTTAAAAAGAGCAGCAGCTTCATCTCTGAGAAACAAAAATCATTCTTTCTGAAAGAAAAAAAGAGGCAAAGCTGTTAGTTGTCAGTGAGCTGCCAAAGCTGATGACTGCACGAGAGGCCAAGAAAACAGCCGAATCCAAACAGAGAAAATGTACGCTTTCTAGACATAATGAGCTCCTAATGTGCACGGAACTTTTACCTCAATGCTCTGAATATATCCAACTCATAAATCTTCCAAAATCCCATCTCGTCCAAGTAAAAAACAAATTCATCCAGCTCCACTTCAAAGCTCCGCCGCCGTATGAGTTTACAACCAACATTCGGAAGAAATGTTTCAGGGGCTTTGGGCCGAGGAAGGGAGGGTTGTTCTGTTTCCTATGGCCTGAAAATCCCGGCCAAGCCACTGTTCTGGACGTCTCGGTTAATTTCAACTGACTCACAGAACAGTGGGATTCCCTGGAAATAGTACACAAGTTTGACAGTTATGCCTGTAATGCTGACAGTTGTTGTTGGAGCGTGACCGACGGAGAAAAATGGTTTTCTAGACACCCAAAGCCACCGTGTCCCTCCACAGCTCATCGGGGATGAAGGACGGATTTTCCTCCGCAGACTCTGAGCATGTTTACATGTTTGTGATGACACGGCTAACTGCCGTCTTTGAGAAATGTGCAGAAAGCAAAGACCCCCGTGAGCAAACGCTTTGAAGGAGGGATCCAACCTGGATGTAATTTAGTTTTTTTTGTTTTTGTTTGTTTTTTTACGTCAAGGCCTCAGCAGGTCAAACACTAACTGATTAGGTCTAGTTAGTCTAATTAGCTTTTAGATTATCATCATGTAATGATGGAAGAGGCAGTTAAAGCTATTTTGGTTACACTTTGGAAATTACAGTTTGTGTGATTTCATGTATTATTGTGATACACATGAATACTTTCTTAAATTTTCAATAAAACTCATCCAGGGATTTGTAAAAGGTAATGCTTAAAACACAAACAATGTGTTACAGTGAAACCCCGCAAAATCACGGATCACCGTTTGTGAACTGGCAGATTTTTCCATGGAACCTAAGTACTAGTAATTAATGAATGAAACCAGTACAGTAAACATACTCTATGTACAGTATGGAACTATTTATTCTTGTGCTCTTTTTGTCAATGTTATTAAATATGGGGTTTAAGCTGTTAAAACGAGCATTTATGGACTGTTTTTTTAAACTTGTTTAAAAACACACTTTTACTCTCTGGCTTTTGGCTCAGCCTGAGACTTTTTTATTCTATTTTTATTTTATTTTTATTGTTTTATTACTGGTTTTAGTGTTTTTAATCATTGTCTTGTGTTTTCATGTTTTGGTTTTATATATGTAGCACGTTGTTGCAGCTGTGGTTGTCTTAAAGGGCTTTATAAATAAAGTTGAGTTGAGTTTTTTTTAACTGCGTCTATTAATTGCTTTATTTGTTGTTTTTTTTTTTTGCAATTTACAGGTCTTGTAAGAAGGTAACCCCTTTGAAAAGCGGGGGTTCACTGCTGTGCTCAGATCATGTTTTTTGGATGATGCTCAGCTACTACCACTCCAAATTTTGAGCTCAATATCTATAAAACTGACTGATTGATAGTTTTTTTTTTAGTTTGATAAGGTTTCTAAGCTGTGGCGGCCATCGTTAATTGGGTTGATGTCAATGGTTAATGGGTTAATGAGTTCCAAATCCAATTATTAATTTCTGAAAGCTTCTTTAAAGGGGAAGTGTTGTGCAAAAATTACCTTTTTTTAAACTTTCTATCATGTTGTAATGTCATTCCCTCATCAAAACCATACCCAGAGTGTTGAGCTACAGCTGAGCTCCCACAGAGCACCCCTCCCCCAAAAAATTGGTGTAAAGGTGTGCTGAAGTGGGAGTGTCAGAAATGGTAGGAGGTTCGTAAAGAGACAGAGGTCAATTTCAAGGTGTTTAGATAGAATATGATGCAGAACCAAATATATTTTTGATTTACACAGCATTTTCATAACAACTGAAGAATTTCCTTTATTGTGATAAAGAGTTGAACTATGTGCCTGGAAATTACATAATACCCCCCCCCCCCCCCAATATCCATCGAGTGGTTCATGAAATATTTTAGTAATAAAAGCACATTTGTACACACAGACACAGGCAAAAAAACAACTCATTGCCTTCAGCAATGTAAGATAATCAGGCGTTTGCTGAGTTTAAAAATAACTTGAATAAAAGAAAAAAATAATGAATTAAAACTAAAAGGAAGGGAGGCAGAAATAGTAAGAGGGAAAATGTCAAAGTCGGGTAAAACTAAGGAATTAGTGGTTCAGCTGATTTTCAAAAACAAAAGACTCTTGTTCAAAGCAAAACATAAAAATAAACTTCATTATTCTAAGCAGAAACAGCTAAAATCCTTATATCACGCTGCAGTTTGAAACAAGCACAACTTCTGAGGAAAAGCAAAATATAACATGCTAATACACCAGCGGGTGGTTTTTATTACCTTTGAACAGCGGCGGGCTACTCCTTTCCTTCCTGTTTCCAATTTTTCTGTGTGTTTTGATCATTAAGCCAACTTGCTGATATCTGCCTCAAATTTAATCTCCACTAACACATGTGTGAAACATTCCAAACGCACGGATCGCAACAGGAATGGGACAGGTCACGAACTGATTAATAAGGTTTAGAAAGAAGGAAGAAAACGTGCTCATAACATCAAAAATGTGTTCCTCATGATTTTCAGATTTCTTCTGATCTGGGTTTCATTTCCTGTGTTGTTGTTTTAATTTCTTAAAGCTTCCAAAAAAAATGTGTGTACCACTGCAAAAATACTGGCAACACAAAAGAACTGAGTTGTGGCTTTGAATGCACACAGCATCATTTTTATTCATGTTTCCAGAAATGAACTAAAACATGATTTGTTATCCCGTTGAACCAAAATCAGCACTTCATCTTTAACTCGCATCAGTCACACTGTAGACAGATGATGTGTTTGTTTCATGAACCCCGTGGAGTTTTTTATTAACTTCTTGATTTAATTTTCAAAACATGCTTAGCTTAAAGAACTTCTAACTTCTATTCAAACATTATTATTTTAGATAGAGACCTAAAAGAGACTCACCTGCAGAAGTTGTGGCTTCCAAGACCTCCTTCTCCATTGGGATACTTCAGGGTGTTGTAAGGGTGCTGGAAAGTCTCATTCCAGAAGAGGCAGGGTTTTCCACCAAGCAGGCTGGTCTGGTTCTGGAAGCCCCTGTAGTCCTCTCCATTGGCCGTATAACACTCTGTAAATAAATAAATAAATTCAATTTAAAAAATTGGTGAAAAATCCCATCATATTTAGTGTTTTACACAAGAGATTAAAAATGGAAAAAATTTAAAGGGATCCCCGATTAGTTGTAACATTAGACTTTATTTGATAAACATATATTTGAACTGTAAAATAAAGGCTGTTAAAAGTCGATCATCAGATATTGTCCAAGATTAACCTTCAGGGTGGATATAGCTCGCTAGCAGCCTCGCACCAAGGACCTATCCATGTCATCATTTACTCAGAATGCTTTGCGTGAAACTAAAATAGCCCTGTGCATGTAA